TAGAGAGAGGAGAAAGAGTAGAGAGAGAGCAGTAGAACACAAGAATTGAAAGGAAGGACAGAATCTGAATGTTCTGCTGCCGCCACTTCTATTTAGTATTTATAGGTTATGCTAGYTACATGAAAGGACAAATCTGCCCTTGGTATTTACATAACACATAAAACAATATAAAACTGAAATATAAATAACAACTGGAATAACAGATTGACAATCAGCTAACCCTAGGATGACTAGGGCACATTCTACCTTACGGACAGAGTGGGACCACAGCTGTGGGGCCCACATCAGTGTTCTCTACAGTCCAGTGCTCTTGAAAGAAGTGAGCTGTAATAATCTTGCTCACGGACTGTTAAACCAAATTCTTTGCAATATTTTGTGTTTAAAAGTTGGGGTCCATTTCTCTCAAACAATCATTCAAATTTAACTCCATATGCCTTTTTTTATATTCACTTTTTTCTTTTTTCCTATCTTTTCCTGGTTAGTATTCACATCCTTCGTACTTCATTGGAAAGAAACCTTCACAATCTGCTGACTCCAAATATTAGGGGGTTGATTTTTCTCAAAGCTACATCTTTTTCATGCATACATCTTTTCCATGAACCTTGAAAATCAACTTTAGTGCAGGTTACACATTATCAAACTTCAATGTTTATTTGCTTGTTTGCTTTGTACAGTTTATAGTATGATGTTTCTGCTCATTTTCATTGGTTTTCTCTGTGCTAATAAAAAAAAGATCCCTGTGCACTGATTCCCTGTTCATTCTATTACCCTTTTATTCTTAGTCTTACTGCTGGAGAACACATGCTAAAATTTGTCCCGTTACAAGCAAGGAGTTCGTTCTTTACCGTTCTTACATCTGCAGTGGAATCATCTTTCAAAACAGTTTGATCTGATTCTCAAGTCTCCAAAAGCCGAACAAAATCTAGGAAGACAAAAAGGATGTCAAGAATGTTCAAGAGGTTTTTCTATCTCAACTGTATGTAGAGATGATATGACCAGTTGAACGGCTTCTTGTATTGGACGACCCTGTAGTTGGTATTTAAAGCTCCTGTTTCATGTCAGCTCTATATGCACGACACTTTTCACAAGTGGTACTAGATTTTGATATGAAAAATTGCCTAAAAAGTTGTTTGTTTTGGGAATTTGCAAGTTAACTTCCATGCTGAAAGTGTGAAACTATTTCTCAATTTAGATGCCTGCTGTTTTGCATTTGGCAAGCACTTTCCCTGGCCTTGGTTACTGGGGCCGGGCGCCTCATCCTAATCCCAATTCTCGTGCATGTTTTGGTGCTTGCCTTTCTGTTTTGATGATGAACGAGAGGCGAGAGCGACACTTGGCAAGGTACTGGCCTACTGGATGGGTCGACTATGGGCTCCAAACTTTCAACAGCTACAACTTAACAAGGTTTATGCTTCAATATGATTGGGTGGTTGAGTGAGAAAGAGATGGGGGGTTGGGGGTTCTATGGCCCCATGTCCCTAGTTGAGTAGGTCACTCCATATCACTCTCAAACTTGAGGTTTGGGATCGTAACTTGGAGTTTCACCGTGGTATGGCCATATGGGTCTCAAGTTCACTCTGCCCATTCCTCAATTCCTGTGTCCCTATTTAAATCTGACCCCAAAAATATCAAGTGCACCAGTGCAAAGGAAATTGCAAAGCAAACAATCTGGCCCCAAGCATAAAAACAACACAGACAGGCTAGAAAGTGGATTTGCTACATGGCACATTTTGTATCGTAGACTTCTATCCATGATCCATTTGCCTTTCCCACCGAGGATCATCTCTGATTTAATGAATTTGATGTTTATTTAGAAGTTAGACCCGGAAGCTAGAAGTAGTTTCTTATGGCCTATCCCATTGTCTGGGGGCTAAGCTCCACTTCTACCATGAGAACCTACCAAGAAGACTATGCCTCCGCTAACAGAAAATTAAATCAACTTCATTCATTATCTGATCGAAAATCCGGTCATGATAATCAGAGTCCACAGTATCCTACAGATAGTTGCCATCAATTGATCTGTCCCATCAGACAGTTTTATGATTATGTACATATCTGTGGTGCATGTCAGGTACACTGAATGTCCTATCGGGCGGGTCGGATGTTTAGAAATCCAGTAACGGAGAAAGCCCAACTCTAATTCTGCCTGTGTTTTTTCGGCCAAACAGCTTTGGGTTCACAACTGATTCAGATGCACTGAATGAAATGGCCACCACCAACCAAGGCCTCAACCTCGAAAGATGAAAATGGGTGGCTTATCATTAAGTAGACGATCTGGTTCGGGTTGGACCGTTAGAGGGGCTTTGGACCAATTACTGTAGCAAGGACACTGGAAACGTATGTTATATATAACGCTTGTCAAGGATAGGAATGGTTATTTCTACCCACCTGGTGCGTACCTGCTCCTACCTTTTCTGATGGGGTGGGTTTTTTGTTTGAAGGATGGGTTTTGGGATTCTATAATTCATACGGGTCTGGATAAGGTACGGTATTATGTTAAATCTGATCCTCCCCGATCGGCATATTATTGAAAAGCATATAAATTTTATGTACTAAATCTTGAATTTAATAATATTTTGAATTTTATATGAAGGATAATTGATAGCTTATATATTTTTAATATACTTTAATCAAATAATTGAAAATTTTGTTGTTTATCTATATTATTTTACTTATTTATTACTTATATATGACAAAATAATAGAAAATTAGATGCAGATTTGAAAATCAATTCACCTTACTCTTGAATACAGAAAAGGTAAGATTAGTGAGGGTTTGAATTCTCAAAATTTGAAGCGAATTCGGGTTGAAAAGTTTAAGGAAGTAAGTAAATTTTAAAATTTACAAAACTCTCTTCGAACCCGCCCCAATAGACCATTACTATCTCTAGTCAAGTAGTCCCAAGTGTCCAACCTCGTAAATCAAAAGGTCGTCCAACCTCGTAAACGTTGTCTCTCAAGTGTGACCAAAACGACAAAACACCATTTCAGTATCATAATTGACGACATCATTGCATCGAGATGTTACTTGCAGCTAACTAAGCTCTACCATGCTTTTATCACTTCCCAACAACCTCTACACCCCCCCAACCCCAACAACCCAAAACCAAAAAGAAAAGAAAAGAAAGCAAAACATCATACATTAATAAATTATCATCTTGCCACAATGGAGAATTGAGGGCCCACATCCAGTTCTCTACTTGTCTATATGATCGGGCACTGAGACTGACCCGAGATCGCACCATCCCGTCATTTGGTTTGATTAGGTTTTTGATTTCCCCTTTTTTTTAATAAATATATTTCTGATAGAGATTTTTATTAATAAATATAATATATAAGAGGAACCCAATATATTAAAGCTAATTCACCCATTTGGATATGGGTCCTGGAGTAGTATTAGTTTTCTGATTTTTTCTCCGGAATGATAATGATGACTTGTTAAACACGGTTTTGTGGTGGTTCATGATTGATCCAACCCCATTGTTGGTGTATTCATCCAATCTGATCATCCGTTCAGAAAACTCCCAGTAGAGGGCTCACCAAGTAAATGCCTGCTATGATACCGCGTTAAGTGGACCCATTTCATTTTCATCTTAGTTTTGCTTGGCATTTGAATCCATAGAGCGGTTACCGGGAACGGATTCATTTTTAGGTTGTTAAGAAATATGTTTGATGTAGTTCAAAGTCATGTTAACAGGAGTATTAAATCATTTTAAGATGATAAAACAATTAGGCTTATATAAGCATCAAATTATCGGTATCTTCGATGCCCAAATTTAGGTATCAATGTGTATCAATATTACTGGTATTTCTGATATATATATATATATATATATATATATATATATGTATTTATCATATCTCTTAGGGTCCAGGACACCTGTTTATATATATAACCAAAATTTGAAAAAAAAACTAAAAAAACATAAAAATGCATGGTTTTCGAACCACTGTTGACCCGAATGGTTTAACTGTTCGGCCTGAGAACCATTCAGGCAACTGGTTTTGTTTTACCCCAAACCCAGTCTTTAGCCAAAAATTGTTGAATCAGTCAATGATTCATTGACCTGGGCGGTCAAACCGTCGACCCGTTTAACGATTTTGACTGTTTTTTTATTTTTAATTTTTTTGTCAAAGCGAACTATCCATTCAAACTTAACAATCAAACCGTCGACCCAAAAACCAATAACCAGAATAATTCTATTTTCGAATCATTTTTTAAAACCATAAATACTGATATACCTCTGCGAATACACAAAGGTGTATGATACTTTGAACCATATCTAAGTGTTTCCATGTCCACCGGTGCAATATTTTGATTAATGGGTTTGCTAGTGAACTTATAACAACTAGTTTATAGTGGGTTTTTAATGGTTACTTTGTTATTAAGTTTCTAACAAACAACTATGTATTAAATACCCTAACAGCAGCTATACTTTTCCCAATGTAAAAGGCATTTAGACGGTTTTAGCTTTGTTTTTGTAAGAACTTAATACTTTGTTTAGAGAATTAAGAGAATTTTCTCTTGGATGAATAGAACCCCTATTCTTATCATCTTTCATATAATCCATTTATATTAATAAAGTAATATTCAAAATTCTCTTTTCTATCTCACTTTCTTCTATGCAATTTCGTTCATTTTCCTTTATCACATAGTAAATAAGACTCCTTAAGAAAAGAAAAAGAGAAACTACAATTATCTCATTCCAATATTTTAATACCCAAGAATGGAAAAACCATAATCAAATTATTTCATTTCATGTGGTACCCAAATTAACAAGCGATAGCGATATGCACACATTGATTAAAAATACGTACCTGCCGCCTTGAAAAGCATAAAGAATTGTTTTCTTAGCGTGGCGGTTATGGAAATCTGGTATGTATGCAACTCCAAAAGGATTTTCTTTGCTGTCAAATAAATGAACTTGGTTTACAGATGTTCATCACTTCATCCTAATTAAATTAAGGGGTTGTTTGGCATCATTGTCGTTTCCTAGAGCAATAGTGCCACATCAGTACCGTATAGAAAAAAAGGTGTTACAAGAAATGGGTATTTGTTTGGAACAGTTTTTTTATAAGAAATGGTGTTTTAATTCATGCTTCGAAAATCGGGAAGCCATGGCTTGGAGCAACGTCAAATTTGGCATTTCCTGGAACTACAGCTTGTTGTTGCCAACAAGACAATGATGTGACACTGGAAAATAGGTACCAATGCTGAAAATGTTTCCTAGAATAATGGTACTAAACAGAAAAAATTACTGTTACTCTAGAAAATATCTTATCTTGCCAAACTTATACTAAATTTGCTTTCCAAGAAAAGAGTGCTGGTTTATGAATTATCTTCTGGAGACTGTTGCTAATTACTGTGAGAGCTGTAATAGAACCAATCTTTCTCCATCACCCAAATCATGTTTCAATCTCTTCTTTTGGCTCAATTAATCTTCATGGGTGCAATCCATTCAATGATTGATTCCAACTTCCAACCCCATATAATGAGACAGACATATGGGCGGTTTTCAAGCCTATTTTTAATCCTGTAGCCCCAGATATATCCTTTTTGGCTAAAACTTAAAAGAAAGAGAAAACCTATATATTTCAATCCTTTCATTCCATCCATCCATCTAACAGTTACATAATCACTTCAGTTAAAAACAAAAAAAAAAAGAAAACCTAGACCAGTAGTACAGTAAAATAATGTGAGTTTGTTGACCCAGAATGACCACTCGTACAAAGTAAAGGACATTATAGTAAAAAGCCAACTTGATCTACAATTCTCTTTCTATATCCTTTCCTTCTCAAGAAAAAAAAGAGAAAGATAAATTATGGATGGAAAGTCTGAGGAAAGATGAAAGGTGATATAGATGTAGTAAATTAAAAACCCCAGACAGCCATTCCTTCAGTCTAATCAAGTCCAAAAAAAGGACATGGGTAAATTTGATTTTTTTTTTTTTTTTGCTTGTAACGTAGGGTAAGGTTAATGAATTTGTACCATGACTGTACCCTTAAAAAATCATAGTGTGGACCCCACATGGCATAACTATAAACTATTATTTAATTTTCTTTTTCTTTTTTATTACTTATATTTTTAGGGTAAAGTTTCTGGTCTGGTGTCTATCTAATCTAGTTAGGGTTAACAAAGTAGTCAAGCAATAAAACCTATT